CTATGTAAGATCATCATCTTACCTTTTTTCTTTTTTGGATATTTCTTATCAACCATTCTTAAGAAAGATAATAACCAAATAGACAAACTATCAATTTTCAAAGTGATAATAATTAACAACAATATTGATATTTGGACAATAAGCATATATACTTTTCTAAGTAACAGTAAGCAAATAATAAAAAAGAATTACTTAGAATATTTTATTTTAAAGTCTAAAATATTTTAAAAGGTATAATTGGCCTCACACATATAATATTCGATTATATTCAATTTAATAAATAGCAATAGATAATTCATAGTGTAACTTTAATCTTAAACATCTTTAAAAGATATATTATGATTTTTTAAAAGGAAAAAAAATGAGAAGAAAGGTTAAAAATATGTTGGGTTTAATTGAATCTGATTGGATCATATTAAAAACTCCATGATTACTAAAATAACAACAAACCATGTATATATGTTGGTCATTTTGGTATTAAACGCTATTAAAAGTTGTATTATGTCATTTTCACTAAAAAGATAGAGAAAAAAAGAATCGAAAATATGTCGGACACACTAATTTCAAAAATTGCATGAATCGTAAAAAGTGAATCGAGTCGTGAATCGATTGTGAATCGTGCGATTCACTAGAGATTCACTTCTAAAATAGATTCACCCATAGATTCGTATTGATTTTGCAAAAATTGCGAATCGAATAGTAAATAAAATCGTGAATCGTAAGATTCTAATAACAAAGGTGGAGATTTTAATGGCCATATAGGCATAGATAAATTAGGCTATGAAAGGGTGCATGGTGGATACGGTTTTGGTGACAGAAATGAGGCTGGAGAGAATATCTTAAATTTTGCATTGGCTTCTGATCTGGTGGTGGCCAATACTATATATAAGAAGAGGGAGGAGCATTTGATAACCTTTAAGAGTGGGTCAGTTAAGAGTCAAATAGATTACTTCTTAGTGAGAAAAGTGGACTGCCTAAAATGCAATGATTGTAAGGTGATTTTTGGAGAGAACTTGACCTCTTAACATAGGATTTTGGTACTAGATTTATATTTTAGAGGGCAATACCAAGCTAGGAAGGATGGTAGGTGTCGTAGGATGAGATAGTGGGATCTAAAAGAGGATAAACTAGAAATATTTAAGAATATAATGGATAAAGAAGGTATTTGGGACTTGGAAGATGATGCTAACATTATATGGAACTCGATGGCCAATTTTATGAGGACAATTTCAAGGGAAGTGCTTAGAGAGTCGAAAGAAATGGGACCCAGCTCTAGGGAAACTTGGTGGTAAAGGGAAGAGGTTCAAGCGGTAGTTAAGGCAAAAAAAGAGTGCTTTAAAAAGTGGCAGAATGATAGAACTTTGGAAAACCTTAAGAGTTATAGATTGGCTAATAAGGAGGTCAAGAAAGTAGTGAGAAAGGCTAAGGTGAAAGCTTATGATGACCTATACACTAGACTAGATAGTAAGAAGAGAGAGAAGAGGGTATACAAACTCGCTAAGATACGGGAGAGGAAAATAAGAGATTTTAATCAAGTTAAGTGCATCAAGAATAAGGATTCTAAGGTATTGGTGAAGTATGAAGAGATTAAGGAAAGATGGAAGAACTATTTTGAGAAACTATTAAATGAGGAACATAGAAGTACGGGAATAGGGGAAGAAATAGCCAGTCATACGATAAATCAAGACTATAAGTTCTATCGCAGGATTAGGAATTTTGAAGGGGGGATTGCACTTAAAATGATGAAATCAAATAAGGCTTTGGGATCCGATGATATCCTTATTGAAGCTTGGAAGTGGTTGGGTAAAAAAAGGGTTCCTTGGTTGACTAGGTTGTTTAGCAAAATTTTGTTGACTAGAAATATGCCAGATAAGTGGAGGAAGAGTATTTTGGTGCCAATCTATAAGAATAAAGGAGATGTCCAAAATTACAACTACTATAGAGGAATCAAGCTAATGTGTCATATAATGAAAGTGTGGGAAAGGGTGATAGAATGCCATTGCAAGATATAACAGAGGTGTTAAAGAATCAATTTAGGTTTATGTCTGGCAGGTCAACAATGGAAGCGATCTATCTTTTGAGGAGAGTAATAGAAAAGTATAGAGAAAAGAAAAGAGACATTCATATGGTGTTTATCGACCTTGAGAAAACATATGATAGAGTGTCCCGAGATATAATATGGTGGGTGTTAGAGAAGAAATGAGTGACAAAAGGTTACATTGATGTGATTAGGGACATGTATGAAGGGGTGGTGACCACTATTAGATCGCCTGTTGGAGAGACATATGGGTTACACCAATGATCTAACTTAAGTCCTTATCTTTTTGCTTTAGTTATGGATGAGTTGACGAGAAATATTTAGGATGACGTGCCATGGTGTATGCTTTTTGCAGAAGATATCGTGCTTAGTGGACGAGACTAGAGAAGGAGTTAACACAAAGTTGGAGATTTGAAGAAAAACTCTTGAATCTAAGGGATTTCGGATAAGCAGAACTAAGACATACATGGAGTGTAAATTTAGTAACAGTAACAATGAAAGTAAAGGAGAAGTGAAGATTGAGAATTGAGAACTACCTAAGAGTGAATATTTTCGTTACTTAGGGTTGATTATCACAACAACGGGAGAGAGTGATGCGGATGTGCCCATAGGATTAGGGTGGGATGGTGTAAGTGGAGAAGTGCATCTAGGGTATTATAAGGTAAACGAATACCCACTAGACTAAAAGATAAGTTCTATAGAACGGCTATTAGACCAGCGATATTGTATGGGACGGAATGTTGGTCAATCAAGAAACAACATGTAGATAAAATGAGTGTGGCTGAGATGAAGATGCTAAGGTGGATGTGTGGCAAGACAAGACAAAACAAAACAAAATTAGGAATGAGTGTGTTTGGGAATGGGTAGGAGTAGCACCAATAGAAGATAAGTTGAGAGAGAATCGATTAAGATGGTTTGATCATATTCAACGGAGACTGACAGAGGCAGTAGTGAAGAGATGCGATGCTGTAACGGTAGATGGAAGTGTTAAGGGACGAGGTAGGCTTAGATTAACGTTGGCTAGCGTTGCAAATAGAGATTTGGATCTACTTAATTTGACTAACGAAATGGCCTTTGATAGGGCTGCGTGGAGAAGAAGGATTCATGTAGCCGTTCTTATTTGATGGGATTTAAGTTTTGGTTTGGTATATGATTTAATAGGATTTTAAAGCATGTTTGGTACGAAAATATGGAATGAAGTGAGACTGAAATGAAAGGGTAAGATTTTGTGTTGTGTTACTTGTATATATAATGTATATAGTGAATATGATCTAACAATCTAAATTATTTTTACATAATTCCACGGCTAATAATTTTTATGTATAGTTAATATTTTCATATATTTATGTATACAATTTGGGCTTCGAGTTGTTTGGTGTCTCTACCCAAGTTCGCCCAAATTTAATTTGTACCCAAGTTTGCACGGAATTCAGAAATGTTGCTCAAGGCCTAATATATTACAGACTGAATTGAGCTTGATCAAGTTGCAACCCTAGAGGGATGACTCGCAGTGGAAGAGGGTGGTTACAGAGGTGGTGTTTGTAGAGGGGAGAAAGTGTTGTAGTGGTGGTTGCAAAAAGGAGGGTTGGTAATGATAAATTTTTTTTTGGCCCATATATATACACAAAATTTATGCACAGCTATGAAACACAGATAACTCTCCAGGGCTTGCATATCAGTGTTGGACATGCTGTCCCGAGAGTGTTCCAATTTGTTTTTGAATTTTTTGCAGTTGGACACATTCGGGACACGTTTCGGACACTGCCTGGTACAAAACATAATTTTTGAAACTTAAAGTGGGGGTCAAATTGTAAAAAACAAAAATTAAAACAATTAAACCAATTTCCAACCCTAGAATTGAACAGATTGAAGAGAAAATACCAGAGAAAGGCTCGCTACTGCTCGTTGCTGTTGCTCGCTGCCATATCCAAGATATGTTCTTCGATTCTCTTCTTCTTCTTGTTCGTTCGATCTTCTTCTCTCTTCTTGTTTGATTTTCTTTTTCTTCTCTGTCTCTCTCTCTCTTGTTGATGACTAAATGTAATTTATTTTTTTATTTATTTTTTTATTTTTTTGACTGATGAGTTTTATTTTATAGAACAAATTATTTTTATTTGAAGAAAAAATCAAATTGTTGTGAATGATATATGATGTTAAATCAATGAAATATTTTTTAAAATAATTTTAACAGTGTTATTTTGTATTTTTTTATAACCTTTCAATGATTTTATTTTTTATTTTTTTTAATTTTAGGACATATAACAAATAAATTCATTCATGTATATTGAGCGTGTCCCCAGCGTATCGTGTCCCTCATTTTTTGAAAATTTGTGTGTTCGCGTATCCGTGTCGTGTCCCATGCCCATGCTTCATAGATGCACAGTATATAGAATGATCAATTCACCAGTCCACAACACCCATCACCACCGCCTATACCCAACTTCCGCACAGATTCACCCCCAAAATTCATTGTCTCCGTTCATTTATTAAAGCTACAACCTACACTCCCAAGTTGAAAATGGCTACTGAACTTTTTGCCTAAAAAATAGCAAGCAAATTAAGGGTTCGTTCTGAAGGAGAGCTCGCACTTGCTCCATGGTGAGCTAAGGTTCTAAGGGAGTTAGCCAAAGCTGTCCCAAGGGAAGGATGAGTTGAATCAGGAGTTGAAGTTGGAACAAAACTAGAGCAAGAGCCTGAGCCAAAGCATGAACCATAGTTGGTGAGCTACAGCCATAGTTGGACATTCATTATGATCTGAGGGTGGGAATAAATTTGTTAGAATACTTTACCAGTCACTCTCACTGTGTGAGTATATATGTTTTTTTGGTGAACCTCTCAAATGTATATATATGAAGAAATAAATTTGCTTGGAGGATGTTTGCATTGTTCCTTTTGACAGTGCTGGTCGTGTAAATCTGGAGTCTTTAGTGTTTTAAGTTGCTGCATTATTTCTCGTCGTCAGGTACAGGAAGTGCTGGATGAAATGGGCAACCCAGGAATACCTTTGAGTGTCATATCAAAGGCTGCTGAAATCCAGCTTCTCTATTCTGTTGACAAAGTTCTCCTTGGGAACAGGTGGTTGCGAAAAGCCACTGGAATTCAGCCGGAATTTCCTTATATGGTTGATTCATTTGAAGAAAGGTACCCCATGCCATTCTCTGTTTCCCTTATTTTGAGTTGTTTGATGTACTTTCTTAGCACCCAAGCTGTGTTGGATTTTGGTTATTTCTAGTGTAATTGAACTTCATTCCCGTATGCACCACCTGATGAGTTAGATCCACCACCTGATGAGTCCATTTAGTTTATTAGCTTTGCGAAACAGCTTAATCGGGAAAAAATTGACCGCGCAGTTAATGCACATTCATTTTCATTTTTTTTTTTCTGCCAAAAAATCTGGAGTGAGGTGGTTAGAAGTTAATGTGGCTGAATTTTTACAGTTCATCTTCTAAGCATGTTTGTGTGGACATGTCTTGGTGGCTCCAATTTTCAAAATATTTAGACATACACAGGCCGAACTTTTTCATTGTATAATGGCATAATTAGGTTCGAGTCCGTTATCATGCGTTCGTTTGTGCCTTCTTAACAGCATCATGTTCATTTAATTCAGGAGTGCAGCTTCCTTGCTGAGAGCATCTGATTCATCCAGATTTGTAGTCAATTCTGAATCAGAAAACAATGAACACCTTGAGCACCATGGCATTTCTGAGCTCATTTCAAAAGATAGTGTTCACACTGAGCAAAAACAGAGACCGGGTTTCAGGTTTCCCTTTGGAGATTGGTTTGGGCATTCATTGTCAAAACAACAGCAGACGCACCATAACCAATCGGATAAAAGGTGTGCTTCTTTACTTAATATTGATACAACAAGCATTCTTTGAACTTTGCTTTCATGCTAATTATATATGGCCTTCTTTATTGCAGAGTGGAAGATACAACCAGGGGATGCATGAAGCAAGAACTACAGACTAGCCCTTTTCTTCCGAAGATAACAATGGTTGGTATCTCAACTGGGGAAGCAGGGCAAGTGAGCAAAGCCAATTTGAAAAAGACAATGGAGAATTTAACGAGGGAGTTAGAACAGACAGATCAGGGAAATGCAGCTAGCGCTACAAGTACTGAATTCAAATCTGAAGACAGGGATCCTCTCTTTGTGGCAAATGTGGGTGATTACTATTCCGGTGCAGCAAAAACAGGTTCAGCTCGATGGGTTCGTGGGGGATAAATTAACTAAAGGAGTTTTGCTAACAGAAATCTTTCTTTTGCAGGAGTTAGTGTGCTAAATTTACTAATTAGTTAGTAAAGTAAGGATTTCAATCAACTTGGTAATTGCATCGGATTTCATTGGTTTGCATCCAGCAACAGGAATGTCTTGATTGTTGATGAGTCTTTAGGCATTTACTTCTGATAAATGCTGTGAACAATGATTCTTCAGGGGAAAGGGGATGGGGATGATCATATGGTTGAGCTGATGCTGCAGATGTTGCTTGTAATTTTGAAATGTAGATTTGTATCAAGGAATGAGTAGAATTTTAGTTCCTCACTATTTTGGACATAGAGTAACCATATTATTTGCATACACATAATTGATAATGAGTAGTTTCATGGAGGTTTGGAGCCTCTCTAGTCTGTATAGTGATTTTTGATGATGCATGGTGATTCAAGGTTTTCAAGTTTAATGATATAGCCTTCTATGGTATGTTATATAAGATTTGAAATCAATGTATTTTATTAATCAAAAAAAGAAATCAATATATTTCAAAGATCAATTTGGCAGGATGGCCTTAGGCTCCACCTGGATAGATATGCATTTCAAATCGGTAGATTTGTGGTTGGATTTTATGAAAATATTAGAGTTTGTTATTCTAGTAGCATTTTTGTTGGTGAAAGAAGAATTCTTTGCATGATTTTAAATTACTATTTTTGCATAAGTATATCAAATACATCATGATAAACCCTTTAATATAATCTTGAAATATTTAGGTAAACCTTCCTATTTAAATTCAAACTATTCTTGATTGTAAAATTTTATTCATACATAAAATTTAAACAAAAAACTTGACAAGAATAATGTAGTATTGTCATTATTGTAAATAAATCGATCTTTAATGGTGTTTTTTTTTAAAATGAAAGGTTCACAATGAGACATCATTATGCATGAATTTTAAGAAATTCTACTTACACGACACATTCACGACTTTACACCCACCATTTAGGTTTTTATTTATTTTATTTTTTTTGTATTTTTTTTACCCATGTGTGAAATTACCATGAAAGACAAAAGACAAAAATTAAATAGATTTAATTATCTCTTTACACCCATTACACTTCAATATCTTCAATATCTTCTTGTCGTCGTTTCTTATTTCTTCTTATCCACCATACATCTACTTTTAAAAAGTGAATTATGGTATTTTTTATTATAAAAGAAAGCAATGGACAAAGAAATGGTGGTGAAGAACTAGCAAAAAGTGAAATGGTAAGTTTTTTTCTTTACTTTTTACGTTTTCGTTTTTTTGCTTTTGAAGAGGGTTGTTCGACTTTTATTTAGTGTATTAGAACCAAACAAAATCAAATAATCCAGAATCACACTGCCGAACAAAAAATACATATCTAGCAATCCACTACTGAACAAAAAATACTTGCTCAGCAACCTATTGCCGAACAAAAAGTACATGTTCGGTAATTTACTGCCAACATTTTTAATTTTATTTTTCTGACATTTTTTTTATTTTTTTATTTTTTTAAAGGATTATGCTTATATGCATTGTAGTAAGGTTAATGGTGAATTATTAATGGACTACAATCATGAATTCATTATAGACGAGGTTTGTTAGATTTATTGGTTTCCTGGTCATCTAGTACCTCTGATAACAAGTAATTGGATTCGTTTTCATCGCTCATAGATGACAGAAAGTATATACTACCCATATTGATCAATTACGTACGATTGTCAGCCTTGATGTAATAACTACCGAAACTATCGTTATAGATGGATTGTGATAACATTTCAGCGTGTTTTTATAAATGTTTGTATTGACTGATTTGAAACATTTGTATTGATAGATTTTATGAATGTTGTTATGGATGTTTGTACACTTCACGTTTTTATGGATGCTTAATGTTTTAAAGAAAATGAATCTATATACGTGCGGTAATAGATGGATGGACAAATTTAGTTTGTTTGGCAACAAGACACCAAAATAGTCCAAATTGTTTGACAATGTATAACTGAATAGGCCCATCATAAATTTAGAAGAAAAAAAATAATGCTTTAAGAAAAGTTAATCTATAAACATGCGGTAACAGATGACTGGACTAATATAGTTTGTTTGGTAACATGACACTAGAGTAATTGAAAAGGAATAAGTATCATGAGAAAAATCTCTGGAGTTTTGAAAGGGGTTTAATTTAGGATTACTTTTGGTATTATAAATGGTGTGATGAGAATTTCAATTGTCTCTTAATAGTGTAATGAGAAAATAGGTGTAAAGAGGTAAAATTATAATGTAAATAGAATTTTCTATGAATATTTTGTTCGTTTTGCATTACTCTTATTCTTGAACTTTTCATATTATATCATTTAGATAACACCTTATGGAAAGTGGAATGAAATTATGAAATAGTCAATTTACTCGCTTCAAAGTAGGAGTGCTTGTGAATCGGGTTGAATTGAAGTGTCTCTCATTTGCCATTTGTCCAAACTTACGTGAATTGGAAAAAATCAATCTGCATCCATTCACTTAGTTAGTGGATACAAATTGAGTGGGTCGTACAGGTTAGCGAATGGATGCGGATTGGTTTGACAGTTGGACTTTATTGTTTTGGACTTTTTTTCAAATTATTTTTTAGCAAATTTTTCTTAATTTGCACTAATTTTTTTTGGTTTATTTTTTATAATAAAAATAAAAACTCAACTTTCATATTTCATATTTCATAAATAGTAAATATAATTATTAAATAAAAGATTCTTTTTAATAAACATAAAGCATAGAAGTATAACTTCATTTTCTTAGGAGTGTTGGTGGATCGAGTTGGGTCAGGTGGCCTCCCATCTGTTATCCGTTCAAATTTAGACAGATTGAAAAAAATGCATCTGCATCTGTTTGCTTGGACCATTGAAACTATCTATTCTATAGTGGATTGATTCAGGCCATTATGTTTTGATAGATCGGCCGAATGCTTGCCCACTCATACTTCAAAGTGATTGAGAGTTTGACATCTAGTTTGAAATGGATCATTTATTTTTTAATATATTATTTTGATTTTGATTTCTATTCAATTTATTAATGAATGCTGCTTTTGATTTTGACACTATGAAAAATTAAAAGGTAAAATTGATACAGTTGAAATGAGAAGACCAAATTTAAATAAGAGGAAATTACAGTATCACATATATAGTTTACTTTAGTTTTTTTGAAATTGATTTTTGGTAACGTGTATTTTGAATTAAAATTAAATGAATACAAAAATATATCATTCTATATCGAAACTCCATAAATTTTCTTTTGGTAATTTATCTTGTTAGTCCCTCTAATTTAAGTGAAGTTTTACTTTGGTTCCCGTAAGTTTAATTTTAACAATTTGAACCATACACTTTTATTTTATTTTGTTCAAAACGTTAACAATTCATGATGAAGTGACAATATTATAATAAAACTAAAAGTCTGAAGTTTAAATTGTTCAAAGTAAAATTGCAAGGACTAAAGTGATATTTCGATTATACTATGAAAAGTAATGGTGTAATTTGTCGCAAATTTATTTTATTAATAATTGCGCAAACACTTTATAAATGATATGGGTGATATCGGACTAGGTGATATATATGGGTTCGTTTGGAAAGTGAATTGGCTTTTTGACTTTTTGATTTTTTAGCTATTTTAACCTGGGGCTAAAAAGTCTCGTTTGTGATAGACTTTTTGATTTTTTTAACTTTTGTAAGAGAAATAATGTAATGATTATGAGTTGTATGTGATGTTTTATCTTATTAAATTAAAAAGTTTATAATATTTTTTTGTGGCTATTTCAGTCCAGAAATCCCAAACGTCAACTTCCCAAACTAGCACATATTGTTTAGAATCTTCATTTTCTTTGTTGAACATGTTTTTTGGGTGGGTAAAAAATATTTTTGGGTGGGTTCTTTGTTCAATAGCAATGATCACATTCCATGTTTTTTTTCTTTTTCTTCTCACAAGTGAAAAAATAAGATATTTAGATAAGGCTCCATTTGTTTTCCTACCCCCTCTTTTTTTATTTGTTTGTTTGTTGTTGTTTGGTTGGCCAAAAAGTAAAATATTTTACATCATAAAAGTGTAAAATGTTTTATGTTTAAGAATTATGTCAGTTTTTTTTTTTTTTGTTTTTTGTTTAAGAATTATGTCAGTTTTTTTTTTTTTTTTTTTTTTTTTTTTTTTTCATTATGGTTGATACTAATCAAGGTATATATTAAGTTTCACTATTTTCATATACACTAAACCTATTTTCTCTCTCTCTCTCTCTCTCTCTCTCTCTATATATATATATATATATATATACCTATACCTATACATATATTGGCCCTGTTTGGTAGAGCTTATTTCCAGCTTATTTCAGCTTTTAGCTTAATTTAAGTTATTTTGATGTGTTTGGTTCAGTTTAATAATACAGCTTATAGCTTTTTATAAGTCAAAAATCAACTTATTCTTTGAGTGAGGGAGGATAAACTTAATTTATATATCAAAAATCAGCTTATGTTCACAGTTATAAGTTATAAGCTGTTAGGCTGTAAGTTATAATCACTTTCCCACAGTTCTACCAAACTGGGCCATTATGGTTGAGTTTGGAATTGCTATTTTTGTTAGAATCAATTCTTATATTATTTTATTCTTGAGTAATGATATACAAACAACATTTGGATATAAAAAAAAAATCTATATATATTGGTGTCACATTTATATCCACTAATTGAAAATTAAAATTCTTATCACATCATTTATGTTTAATTCTACATAAAACTTATGTATGAATATCATCTTTCTTTATTCTTTTCCTTCTTAAAATTTACTCCATAATTGGTTCTTTATCAAGATTTTTATTGTAAAAAAATATTTTAAGTGTTAACAAAACACCGAAAAATAAAAACAAAAACAAAAACAAAAACTTAAACTTATTTTTAGGCAAAATCATTTTACATAAAATATTGTACGACAAAACAAATGTAGCCTAAATTCATTTACCTTCTATTAATTCCATCTCCTTGAGAGGTGCCGCCTCTACTATTAGCTCAAGCTTAGCTGTGAAGCTAGTGTCATGAATTAGCTAGCAAGAGATAAGACAATCCCCTTGTAATTAATAGGGAATAAAAGCATTCAAAATATTCTTTTTATGGACCATAAAAAAATCAATAATGCTAGGAACATAAAAATTAAATACAGAATGAGATATAATTTTTTTTCATAAGTTTGGGTCCTACACGTAGGTCTCACATATGTAGGTCCCACCCCTTCTGAAAGAGTTGTATCTCATTCGGTATTTGATTTTTATACTGATCTAGTGTTACTCAGATCATGTGAGGACCAATATTTATTGCCACGTGTACGATCAGGATTAAAGGCTTGAATAACCTTCCTTTATTACCCTTACTATGCCACGTGTCGAACTGTAACTGGCTTTTACAAAATATGTAGCCAACACATATGTAGGT